GAATTTATTTAGGATTTATTGACCTCTGGAAGTATTTTATATGATTTATGCCCTTGGTTTTAGCAATAATTCTAATAAATCAAATAAATAACAAAAGCTCTTGAAATTTTCCAGATTATCTCATGCATGCAAGGGCTTTCAAAAGTAAAAATGTTAAGAATGTATTCAGAAGAGAAATGAGGGTAATGATTCCAAACAATTTAAGAAAAGTTGCATGCAATAATGCATGAAGTGTAGATGTGGCTGAGGTTCATGAATTTTTGTAGCCCATTCAGTGAGGTTTTAAGCCACGAAATTTCAACCATAACTCACTAGATATGTTAAGTTTCTAAGGTATTTTTCCTAAGATTTATGGTTGGGTTTAAGACCATTGTTTAAGCAAGATAAAAATAGTGATCACAGAAAAAGAGCTGTATGCGCAACCTTTTTGTAAAATCTGCCAAAAATCGGATATTTAATATTTTACAGTAAGACCAGTTGGGTTTGAAAGTTAACTCGTGGAACTAACCAATACAAAAAGAATATCATGATTTGGTTAAAAAATGACTGAGTTATGACTGTTCAAAGTCGAACAAAATAATCTGGCAGATTGCATGTTTGCTTGTGTGCATTTTTAGGGTATTTCAATAAGAACATCATGCATGTCCTTGGTAAGGCCCGATTTCTAACACATGCATGGAATGAATGAGCATCCAAGATGTACTAGAAATGGTTTAATGCTTTCGTTCATGCATGAACACACAAGAAATGGAGAAGAACATGAAATATTATGTTTTGATGTCACATGATCATATGTGCATCTTTTTCACTCCTTGCATGGGTTTGATCCCGGATTTTCACCATTTCAAACACATGCATTGTGTTATGGTGAGAATCTACAAACCACAAGGGGAGAATAAAGATTTCTAGCCATGGAAAGGCATAGAATCCTAAAAGAAGAGAAAACTAAGAAGGAAAAGAAGTAGAATCATCAAACTATGGAAGAAGATGATGTTGTTTACCTTGGTTATGATCTTGAGAGAAGTAAGAACACTTCAAGGTCTTCAAAGTCTTGAAATTTGGCAGAGAAATGAGAGAAATTTCGTGAGTTTAGAGAGAGAGAGGAAGAGGGTGAAGTGTGTGAAGAGAGTGAAGTGAGAAGAGTGAAGAGAGAAGAGGTGGAGTGTGGGTTTGAGTTTAATCATGAGTTTTGGGAAGAGAGTGCATGGGGAGAGGGGAGATGGCCAGATTTTTGAGGCATTAAAGCCTCCTCTCTCCTAAATTCAAATTTTTATAAAAAATCCCTCCTTAATTTTTATAAAAATCTAATTTTTATAAAAATCTAATTTTTATAAAAGTGATTCTTTAAGCAATTTTTGATTTATTTAAAAATCTTGTTTTTAACTAATAAATTATGATTAATACTTGTAATTTATATTTCTATTTCATTGGTATAATCCATAATTTGATTAATAAAATTTGATATTAGAAAGTTTATAGCCAAATTTTATAAAGTTTTTAAGCTTTAAGATTTATAAATTTGGATTTTTGGCTGTTTAGAGTTTTTGGAACATTGATTGATATTCAACAACATGTTGAAGTATAATTAGAGTGTTTTAATTTATTTTTAGAGTTTTATACCCTATTTCAATTATAACAAAGTTTGAAGCTTATTCTAATTATAGTATTGGCATTTCCTATTGTAGCTAAGCAACTTACTAGAATTGTAAGTATCAAGTATATTAGTCCTAGACCTTAGTTGGATCCTAGTTTATGCAAGATTTTTGACCTAATTTATACTACTAGGTCATGGCATGTTGTGCATGAATGGTTATTATAAAGATGCATGAGTCCAAGAATGACCTGAATTGACAGTTGTCACAAATATACTAGATTGAGCACATATGCGAGAAGGATCCTAGAAGGTGATTTTAGGAAAGTTAATATGTACCCGATAGAGACACAAAATTCCTAGTAGAGTCTAAGAAAAAAATTATTTTCGGTGCTTGTTTGGACATTCATGTGTGTTAAATTTTTCTATCGTTTTTATGTATAATGACATGGGGATGCGAGATAATTCTTGGGATGTGTATGCATAAGTGTGAAAGATAGTAAAGGACTATACTACCAAAAGCACATGATCCATACATGAATCATGAAGAGTCGCACGGTTACTAAGGCACTAGTAGTTGAGTTTTTTGTCTGTTTTCATCATTATTGCATTATGTTGATGGCTAGTAAAATAATTTTGATTCAGTCTAAAATGGACATAAAGAAAAATAATAGAATAATATAAATATGAAAAATGATTTGATTACTTCAGACAACCAGGTCTTATGTAGTGACTGACTGTAGTAAGTGGATTGAAGAAGGAGATGATCAAAGTGATCGACAGGAAAAAAACATTGCAGCTTTGTCAAGGCCGAGTAGCCAGTAACTAGAGTTGTTATCTATTAGGAAGTGGTTGTAAGTCCACCTTCAATGATCAAAAGTAAAAGGTTCATTTTGATTTATACAACATGGATAAAAGAAATGGAAGATGTTTTCCATGTTAAATTTTTTACTCGTAGAGCTAAGAATCTAGTTCATTATGTATTCTTTTGATATGCAATAGAAGATCATTATAGTGCAACCATTCGGTCTGTTATTGTAGCTGGAGAGAAGACCTTGTCTTGGGTTGAGTCTACGACCCAACTTAGAAAGGAGAGGAAGTGTCGAATAAAATTCAAGTTTGTAACTCAAGAAAGAGGAGTGAAGTTCCATTGGTGGATGAAAGAACAAGTGCATATTCCAGCACCATATTCAACAAATAAGTTCAAACACATTTAATTTTCACTTAAAAGGATAGGTGAAATGTAGTCATTGTGGAAAATATGTTATGTTGTAAGTACCTTGTATGCGTTTTCACCCAAGTGTTTACAAAAGGATTAATTAGAGCACAACAAGGTTTAGTGTCCTATAGAAGAGGGATGAAATTGTATTGAGATCAGCAATTACCATTATTGCTAGTGATTTCCATTATTTTGGTAACACCCTTTTATAACATTTTGTATTCATGTTCATAGGTGGAAACTTCATGCTTGTTAAGATCCTGATGAGACCTTGTTTGTGATACACGCAAAGACAGCTCATGGTGGACACAAGTAGTAATACTAGCATGGTGATGTACAAATAAAGAGTTCTTCCAAGAAAGAGAATGCTATAAAATAACATACGTAGAGCCGGTTGGCCTTCGGTTGGTTGTAAGTAGCAAAAAGTGGGGGATCATACCCAAGTAATGGAGAATCCAACCATTAATACAAAAAGTGAGAAAGGAAACTCAACTTTGGATTCAACATCAATATCAAGGAGATTTGCAACACTAGAAACTAAAAGAGGGTTGTTAGATTTTATTATTGTTATCTAGATGATAGAATGGATGTATTAGTTGGAAAAGGAGAAAAAAACATCAAACATCATGGGAGAAGTTGAAACTTTTACCTATTGACAAATAAGAATGATCTTATCTTAGATCTTATCATTAATTTTCCCAGGATGGAATAGAACCACAATGTGTTGTGAGCTACAATTAACAAAGTTAAAAAGGTATGCCTTTCGGGGCATCAAGTTTATGGAGAATTGGTTTATAGCAAATATTTTCATATGACTCGTTATCATAAATGAGTAAAGATTTTGATTATTCTCTAATTTCTTGAGAATACTTATGCTAGTAATGATGTGGAATCTTTTTTAGTATGAAAAAGTAGAAACACGAAAGGGACACGAAACAATTAAGTTCATAGAATTTTCCCTTTACCCCTCGCTAATAAAGGGGACAGTTTTGTGGGGAAATTTTTTGAAAGAGAGTTGTTTAGTTATAGTAAAATTTTAATTAACAGAGTTGATGTTTTGATAATGAAAATAGGACATCATTCTTAGGAAAAGGTTAGCAAGGTCATTAAATTGGAAAATGTAGGGAGCTACCATTGATCCTTGTATGGTAAGATTCCAATCTTCCTGTGCCAAATCCTGGACATCCTTTCGTGGGCAGTACTCCTTGATCATCATCTATTTCAGGGGTTCCCAAACCATAGCGTATGCTTCATTGATTCCTATGTACATAGCATGGTTGTTCCACCAAGTTAATGCGGAGTCCATCTGTATGCATGTAGTGTACTTGACCCGACAGTCATCAAGGCAAGAACTGATGGGAAGTACTGCCTACTTCTTTTCTATTCAGCAGGATAGATATACGACTCCTTATATTCCATAGAAGGATCATGGTTTACAACTCATGGACTCTTTATGTGAACAAGTTCTAGAGTGGTTTTGATTATTCATTAGGTGTCGCCACCATTTCTACTGTTCCTAGTGTTGTCATTTCTGGCATCATCATAGGTAGCTAGGGTTATAGCAATTCATTACACAAGTAGGGTCTACATTAAAGTAGCGTCGGTTTGAAATGGTGGGTTTTTAGCAGGAGTGTCTAGAGCTCAGCCATGGTTTGGAGTTTCTACCAATGTTTGAGTTACTTCTAGAGTACTCCTTCGGTTTCCTCAGGGAGTTGGTGGTGGACAGACTCGTGGATTTTTCATGGACACATTTTCCTAATATGTTTTAGAAAGATATGTTAAGTTATTTTACACTATCTAGTCATAACAAGTATGAATGTATTTTGTATTCATACAATTTTTTGCCATAAAATGCTATAGACTTCCAAGTCATAAAATGAAGGTTTTATCGTATATTGTGTTTTGAAAGAAATATATAATAAGTGCAAACATTTAACAAAATACTAAAATATTTTCATAAGAACTTCTTGTTTTTTCTTACAAAAAGTAGTAACTATGTAAAGTTAGAAATGGAAAAGCTATACAAAAGATTAATTACAAATCAGACAGTGATAAAAACTTGCAATATGAAAGCTATTCCTCAAAAGTTATAACCCTACCTTAGGGCACAAGCTAACCTAGATGAAGCATCTATCCCCCAAAACATGAAATCACATAGAGGACAAACTAGTCCTTGATGTAATATCACTCCTAAGTGGCAACCATCACCTGGTTCTCTGTTGCAGCTAGTCGACTCTTGGTGATCTGTGTGTTGTAGGATAGTACTCTACTGTGAGCACTCATGGCGTTCTCCTCAGTGTGGTTAGCACCTACATGATGATGAAAGGTCTGGATAGCCACAACATCCTCCTTCTTCTCTTCCTCAAGTTTTTCCACTCGGTGTCCTAGTGAAGTAGAGCCTGAATCTATGATGAAACTCCCCAAAATTGTGATTATTTCTGATAGTTGATCACCCAGAGACATAAGGTGGGGTATCAGATCATTCTCAGGATCGTACCTGAATGGTTCCTGTGAAGACTCGCCAACCTCAAACTATGGCAGAAAGTTAGTAATCCTCCTCTTGCAGAGGAGGTCTGGGAACAAAATTGGCTCGTGGGGATTGGTTTATTTCCTAGTTGACCACAAGTACATCGGAAAGCATGTGTGGTAGGTTCCAGGTGATATATAAGGGGAATACTGATCCTCGGGTTCCTCATCAGGACAAGACCCTTGCCATTAAGGATATATGGCTGATAGTGCACTCTGGGTGGTGAGGATGGTCGGGTAGGAACGGATGGCTCCACATAAGTAAGGCCCTCCTTGATGGGGACATCATCCTTAATCTCCTAGGCATCCTGTAATACCCCCTCGTCATTGAATTCTGGAATGTGCTCTATATAATCATCCTCTTTGTCCTCCAACCGGTCCTCCTCCTCTGAGAGATCTGCAGGGGCAACCGAAGCATCCTGTGGTAAATGTGGATCCCCAACTAGATATATCGGAACCTCATGTAACTCTTACGGTTCTACAATCTTCATCCAAGATGGATGGTCATCGGGTATGTATGGCATCTAGCATTCTGGTAGTTAATGAGTTCATCATAATCCATCCAAAATATTTTCCACTTTAAATGCGTATTTCTTAGGGGCATGACAAATTCTACAAGATCTGTGAATAATTTGTGCTTTTGAATAACTATTGTCTAGGTTCAATAATTCTTTGTTAAGAGCTAGTGCCAACCTTTAATACATACAATTGTGGTTCTTGATCTACTTCAAGGTCCACGTGCCTCCCACTCTCTTTGTCCATTAGCAGCTTGCTTTATAAGAACTCAAATTTCATAGAAACAAATATCTTATATTGGTGAGATCGTATGATAATAGCCTGAACTATCTTTAAGATATCCTACAAATGTGTACTTAGTAGATCATCGGTCGATGTTTTCTAAAAGCTTCTTGTCTCACACAATTTTCATATCTCCAAAATATGAAGTAAGATAAGGATGAAGCATTTCCATGATAAAACTTTTAAAGTATTTTATATACTTCTTAGTTAGAGTTGTATTCAAAATACAAGTGATAGTAAGTAAGGCATAATCGAAAAGTGATACAGAAGAGTATTTCTACTTATTAGAAAATAATTCATATCTAGTAAGGTTTGATTCATCATTTATTATTTACAAGGATTTGATGGTCCTATTAAGTAGTTTCTCAACTTCACATTGAAACAACCTTGAACTTTTCAAATGTTTTATATTTATATTTTATTATATAAAATATAATTACAAATTATATATTTATTAACGAAGTTCATGAGGTATCTTACATTATATATAGAAATTCCTCTTGTAAGGATGTGATACATCACCATGTATTATTTGTAACAACATTCTTTTCTCTACTATTTAGAGAAAATAGCATAAGTACTTTTTATATATAAATAAGATTTTCATATGTCAATTATTCCCTAAAAAATTCTCTATTGTTTAGAGAAAATAGAATTATTAGTATTTTATATATAAATAAGATTTGATATGTCAAATAAATTGTATTTATTTTCCTTAAGTAATCCATTCTGTGAAGTTGGAATATCTACAAATTGTTTCTATAAAAAAGATAATAATGTCATATATAATTTAGATTCAAATATTAATTGAGTATAAGGTGTTTTCATGTAGAAATCTTGTTTAAAAAATATTGATATCTACTTTGTAATTGTATTAAGTGATCTAATTCATGAAATAAGAATAAGCATTTTAGAATATGCATGTCATCATTTTGAAGAATGATTAACTGAAATAATCAATCAAATGCTCAAATAACCAACACATATATTTAGTTATACTAACTTTAAGATATGTTATTCAAAACAAACATTGTGTTACAATATAAGTCTCTTATATTGAAAATATAAAAAATAAATTCCATATGTTGTAGTCTACGTTGTTTTCTTCTAAGCTCATGTGGAGTGATAACTTGCTTGTTTACAACTGTTTAATATTCTTGAACATTTGTAGAATGTTTACAAATATTAGTTTAACACTTAGTATCACGTACTCAAGAGTTAAATGAAAAATAAAAGTTGTATCATATAGATACCTTAAGTGTAGGTCCTACTAGAATTTCTCAATTTAGTAAGATAAGAGGAGTATTTCCTCATATATTTTCATGTCTCTCAATAATAGAAAAAATATCTATCCTTAGGTATTTTTCTTGATTTCTTGGATTTATAACCCTACCTTTTATATATTTCCTATTTCCGAACCATATGTTTAACACACGGATCCAGTATGTATTAACTTTAACAGTGCAAAGTTAAAAGTTTCAAAAATTGCCCTGTTCACACCATGAAGATTGCCTTTTCATGTCTTGAGGATTGATACATAAGCGCACATCATTTAAAGGTCCGTGACATGAGTAGTATAGTGCTCACGACGTGAAAGCGATGGACGACCAAAAATACTAAGTTTTTGGTATTTTTGGGAGTGAGATGGATATGTTTTCTCACCCTCAACCCCTATCACTCTCTAAGCTTCTAGAAACCTTAATCTTACCTATCCTTAATATCCTTTGTCATTTGGGTGCATTTCTAGCTTGTAGAAAGAAGAAAAGAATAAGAAGGAAGTACTCTGGTGTTGGTATGGGAAAAGGATCAACATCATCATCATCTTTTCTTGCTTTTGGACTCTTGTAAGTATCGAAGTCTCTAACAATATTGCTTTGCATGGGTAGATCCTGAGTTTTGTCCATTTTATTGATATTATTGTATAATTGAGTGGAGTGGATCCATAAAGTTGGCAATTTTGTCGATTCTTAGAGTCCTAAGAACCTCATAGTGATCAGATCTGGTAGTTGGTATAGATTTGAGGCATCCATGCAAGTTTGAAGCTCATTTCTTCCCTTTTTTACCTAGAAAATGGATGATCATGTTTGGTGCATGCCTGGACATAAAGGAAACATATTTATGGACCTTAGGGGTCCCCCTTATCTTTTGGAATAAGTGGACTCGAATACTTAATGGAATAAGGACTTAAAACGGTGACCCTTAACCACAGACAACGCTCACGACGTAGGGTGTGGGATCCCATGACGTGAGAATCGGAGCAGTCCCATTTTTGTTAGAACCCTTGGAACTCATGACGTAAGAATGCGTGTTCACATTGTGATGCCATTTCGGTTGGTTTCTTTAATTGAGTTGGTAAGTTTGGGTCGATTTGAGTGGGATTTGATGTCACGACGTGATAAATGATGGGCCACAACGTGAGGATAGTTGAATTTAACTTTGACCAAGTTTGACCTTAATGGTATTTTGGAATTTTTATGGAAATTGGTCATTTGGTGGGAATAGGTGTCAGTTAGAGAGATGAGATTCAGAGTCTAGACCTCAACAACTTCGGTTCAGTTTGCAAGTTGAGTTTTCCTCACTATACTTTCGGGTTGAAGGCACCAAGGCCGTCTTATTGGATTGTTATTCTGGTTTATTGCATGATTGTATGTTGTAGTGATTTGTACACTTGTATCCTAATATATAGGATGATCTATGCTTAGGGATTTGTAAGATCTGTTTGATTGTCAATTAACTGGTTATATATTTTTATCTATTATGTATATGTCGACATCTTATGTGTGGTTGGGTTGAGGCGGACTAGTGGAGACTAAAGGACAAGAGACCTAGGGCAGCCCAGATAAACTGAAAGCCCGTGAGGCAGACCAGTCGGCTCAAAGGCTTGAAGTGCAGTCCAAATATCCTAAAGGCCCAGTGAGTCGGTCCAGTCATGCTGAAGATTCTGTGAGCAGTCCAGATAGTCTGTAGGCCGGTAAGGCGGTCAAGCCATACTAAAGGGTCTGTATGCATATTGTTTGGTTTTGTTATGTGTATTGTGTGTTGGTACATTGGGGGATCTCACTAAGAGTTGGCCTATAGTTTTAGGTTATGTCTCAGGTACTTCAGATGATCACAGAAATGTGAAGGCATAACCATACACATCTTCATGGTTTGAATTATAATTTTGGGAGACTCTGATTCTTCAAAAAACCATGTTTGTAAACAATTTATGAAATTGGTTGGTTTTAAAAAGTTTAAATTTATGTTGATTTTATGAGCATTACAATATGCCTTTTAGAGCAAACAATGTGACTCTTTTTGACTTTGCTAGTATCCAACATATAAACAGGTTTGTAACTTGCATCACTGTATTGCTGGAATATCAACTTTACTTGATGAAACATATGATATGCTTATAATTTTTTCCATGTCCTTCTGGAGGTAAATAATCATTGTTCACAATATTATGTGAGATTCATTAATACGTCACAATTAGGTTTCTACCAAGCACCATGATCATGCAGGTTATTCATGAATGGGATCTATTAAAATGTATAATTAATGTTCGTGTTTTAGAATAATTTCAAAGGAATGATACTGGTTGTTGAAATTATAACTATTGAATGTTACTATCTCTTGTAAGTCAACAATATAAAGGTGGTACATGGTGTAAGAGTGGGTTTTGTGATCATCTACAAAATTTTACAAAATGCATTTAGCATTTTCAATATTTGAATCTTCTATAATCAATATTGTTCATGTTTCTAAAAGATTAATTATTAAAGTCTAGGTTCGAAGTTGCAAAACAAAAAATGGTTTTGTGACCTTTATCATATTTATTTAATTCAACAAGGTAGATAACGATTATCAGTAATACTCTAATATAAAATATGTAGAGGTATAAGAATTTGAACAACTTTTGTAAATTGAGATGTTTGATCTCATCAATGCTTTGAACCTCTCTTGCTTATGCGACTATTATCATGAAAGTTTTTTGTTCAGTAATCCAATTTGAAAATCATGTAGATCTGACACATAACTAGCAGTTAGGTGTCCTTTATCCCACTGGAATTCGTAAAACTACCTCAACCACAAAAATATAAATCCATGTGGTTATCAGACCTTAATCCCCACAAGGACCATACAGGTGATGTGTGGGTATCTCTTAAATGAAAGGCAATGACTTGCATTTTTGAAAGTTTTTGAAAGAGGTACTATATGTTTTGATATTCTAGTTTTTAAAACGTATGATATCATTGTTATTTCATGCATCCAATTAGTCATAGCATCCAAAATCACATTTTATTGTTAGTTTCTTAATATATTCCACTTTTATATTTCAACACATTAAAATTTTAAATATAATATCTTATATATTAAGATTTGATGTTTG